ATTTTATCGCCCGCTGTGTTGACAGGCTCGATAGTACTGCTTTAGTATAGCTCTACGAAAGATCAAGTTGGATCATCTACAAAATGCTCCCATTCTTAGCGCTTCGGTATTAGGAATAAACTATGTGAAAAGAGAAGACTTTCAGAATTCTTGTATTGCTGCACCACTTACTAAATGTGAGAAATTTTTCTTATTATCCTTTTTCTTTGATTCTCTGTCCTTCCTAATTTTATACTTACATTGCTAAAGCTTCCACATCTCTGATTCATGCTAATATTATCAAACAATCATTTTATAAACTCTTTGCAATGTCGTGATATCTCTGACGACGAAATTGGTAATGTCCACAAAATCACTATTGACCTGATCGTCCAAGACTTTATTGCTTACATTTTGATTATCTTAGGAATAAAACTCACAAAACTATTGGGTAGCTCAACATCTAAGCGCTTATCACTCTAGCGCTCTAAGCGTTTCCGCTATCATTTATGTTTTTATATGAATGTTTTGTTTTCCCGGCAACCTGTTGGGAGTTTCGCTTTAATTTATTGTGTTTAGACAGATAAGTCGTTTCCAAGATCAGTACCACATTCGACGTTGAGTTCTAATCTCTTGTGGAACAGTGAATATGCATTGATAAATATATCAGAATCAAGGGTATTCAGAATATGGAAAGATGTTATTATTTGGCTTTGAAATCAAGCTGAAGTCGCGCTCTTCTTCTTCTAAAATTCCCCCAGCTCTATCTAGTTCAGCTCACTCTATAGACGAGCTGAAGCTTTTTGATTGAGCTCTGAAATTCTTTCTTTATGGCGTCACTTTCGATTTGAAGTGTTCCCTGGCCGAATCGTCAGCCGACTTAAGATACGTTTTGAAAAATGAATTTACAGCAATATTCCTTCCATCGACGAGTTTTCGCGTTCTTCAGACTGTCAATAATATCGGTTACAATGCTTTATTTTTTCTTATGTGGTCAACTCAACCATAAACCAGTTATTCAAAAGCATTATACTGTCAACTAAATATCACTGCATAGTTTTTGAGAAATTAGAGCTTTGCTCTTTATCTCCAAAGTTGTAAGCAAATTTTCGATTAAGCTGAGAGCAACAGCGAGCTGGTTTTGAAATGCTCCCATGTAAAAACAGATTCCATTATGGATCCTCCTCAGTAGTATCTTGAAGAAACGGGGGATCTGTATATGTTGCAGTCCTTAAACGTTGCAAACCTCAGTGCTTACAAACACCTCTTGCCCTTTCCGAACAACTGTTCACACCTAGACAGTGTTAAGATAGATTTGCATCATAAAAAACAAATTTATTGCGAAAAATTTGCATCATAAAAAAACATAATTGCCAACCTCTCCTACTGCTGGAGTCCGTCGTGACCACTTTGTATCTAAAAATGTTTTGAGTGTGATCTCGCGACTAAAGAGCTTTACAACGTCAATGTGTATTTTTCTAGGTGGCAGCAGTAAGCGATTATGTGCATGCGAATGGCCCATTTGATGGGATTTTGGGTTTCAGTCAGGGCGCTTCCATGGCCCATCTATTATTAGCAATGGAACAGCTTGGTGAAGTGAAGCTAGGATTTCGTTTTGCCATCTTTTTCTCAAGTTTTCTGAGTTTATCATCTTTACATGATTCATATACTAATTTGAAGTTGAACATCCCAAGTCTACATATTTATGGTAGCAATGATCAGGTTGTTGCTTATACGAACAGTGAAAAATTGCAAACAATGTTCTCTGATAGCGTATCGATTGTACACGATGGAGGACATTTTATTCCTACGATGACCAAATATAAAGATGTTGCTATAAAGTTCTTAGAGAGATTTATTGTTGAATAATGAGCTTCTTGCATCCTTAAGGGTCACATTGCGGTTGTTGTGGTTGTGATTTGTTGATATGTGCAGATAAAATCTTTTTGAAGTTTCTGATTTTTTTTCACGTTTGGAGTTTTAACTCTCCATATTTGACATATGCTATGTTCATATTTGGAATGTGCTCAATTTTCATTGTTTTTTTTTTGTTGTAAAATTGTCAAATGGAACATTCCTCATTTAGAGATGATCAATCAACATGGGCAACTGCATTAGCGAAGACGCTCAACGAGGTCATAAGGATTTTCTGAAAAATGTAAAATGTGATCCAGAGAAGCAGGTCACATCATTCCGTGTCTATTTACATAGGAGGAACAAATTTATTCATGGTAGGCTTCTCATCACTTTTTCATAAAAGAATTACCCTCTTTCTAGTGTGATTTATTAACCTTTATTTGCTTTAAATTATCATCAATACCAACTCACTAAGCTCTGTACAGTAGTGGAAAAGGGCAGGTTGAG